AATGCTCTTTTAGAAAACAATGTTTGCTACTTTAGATAGTTTGGGTCAGGGAGTTCTCTCTGAATAAAGTAACATTTGAATAAGAGCTTGAATGCAGCCCCAAAAAGGGAACAAGGAGGCAGACCCATGGCCTCCTAACTCATCCTTGTGCCTCTTCCTTTACTATTTTCTAGGGCCCTCTAGAACGGAGGGAGGACCATGTTTCCTTGGGAAGGAACATTCTAGAGAACTTCATATGCCATGTTAAATAGCTTGGACCTTGAACTTGAACCTTCAGCCACTGAAGGGCTTTTTTTTTTTTTTTTTTTTTTTTTTTTTTAAGACAGACTCTCCACTCAGTTGCCCAGGTTGGAGTGTAGTGGTGCCATCTCAGCTCCACTGCAACCTCTGCCCCCAGGTTCAAGTAATCCTCCTGCCTCAGCCTCCCGAGTAGCTGGGATACAGGTGTGGTGCACCACCATGCCCAGCTAATTTTGGTATTTTTAGTAGAGATGGGTTTTCACCATGTGGCCAGGAGTGGTTTTAAACTCCTGGCCTCAAGTGATCCACCTGCCTTGGCATCCCAAAGTGCTGGGATTACAGCATGAGCCATGGCGCCCAGCCTCAGATTTAGGAAATATTTAGGAAGCAAAATAGGCCAGGCGCGGTGACTCAGACCTGTAATCCCAGCATTTTGGGAGGCCGAGGCAGGTGGATCACCTGAGGTCAGGATTTTGAAGCCAGCCTGGCCAACATGGTGAAACCCCCTTTCTACTAAAAATACAAAAAATTTGCTAGACGTGGTGGCGCATGTCTGTAATCCTAGCTACCTGGGAGACTGAGGCAGGAGAATTGCTCAAACCCGGGAGGCAGAGGTTGCAGTGAGCTGAGATCGTGCCATTACACTCCAGCCTGGGCAACAAGAGTGAAACTCCATCTCAAAAATTAGTACATAAATAAAATATTCTAAAAATCCTTGGTTATCTAGTGGTTAGGAAAAAATAAATAGGACTTGACTGTCAGATATATGGCTTGGTCAACTAGGTAGATCTTGGTACCATAGAGAATACAGTAAGAAAAATTGAAATGAAATAAAAATGGTGAATTTAATTTAGGATGTCATGAGTTTGAGGTTATGATGGGATATTTAAGGAGGTTTAGTAGTTACCATCATCTTCTTGGTATCCATGTGGGATTGGTTCCAGGATCCAAAGATACCAGATACCAAAATTCAAGGATGCCTAAATCCCTTATAGAAAATGATATAGTATTTGCATATAACCTTATGCACATCCTCCCAGATGTGAAACAAGAAAGTCAGCTGGCCAGTAGGGAATTGGACTATGTCCCTGACTTTCTATAGACTGTTCTAACCAAGTGAGCCATTACCTATTCTGCAGGGTCATTGTGAGGATAAAATGAGGTGGAGTTTACAAAAATACTGTGTAACACATTAAACAAACATAAGACAGTATTATCAGTGTCTTTATCACTAAGATTGACTGGTTCCTAGCCTTTTGCCTCTGTTGCTCCTGGTCACAAAGGCCAAGCAAGAAAGGATCAAGGCTGAGCCATGCTCAGTCCCTGACCTGGCCATAGGATGGCCCTTGCCCCTCCACCCTAAGTGTCTCTGTTGTCTTTGTCCTCTATAGGGCCATGCCACTTCATTTTTTGGGCCAGCCTTGGAGCGCTACTCATCCTTTCAAGTCAATGGCAGTGATGATATTCGGCAGATCCAGAGCCTGGAGAATGGTATCCTTTTTCTCACCAAGAACAATCTCAAGTACATGGCCCGTGGGGGCCTCATTATATTTGATTACCTGTAAGTGGCTTCTCAGCTCTGGACTGGGAACGAGGATGCCTCATAGGGTGGGAAGGCTAAGGGATTGGCAGCTTGTAAGGCCTGGGCCCCTTAGCCTTTCCTCTCCCCAATAGGCTAGATGAGAATGAGGATATGCACAGTCTCCTACTGACTGACAGCAGCACTCTACTCATTGGTGGGCTGCAGAATCACATACTAGAGATTGATCTTAACACTGTCCAGGAGACTCAGAAGGTACAAGCCTGGAGCAAGAAAGACCTATGCAGGGTCTGAGGTTGTTGAGGGGACAGGGTATGCTTGGGCTGGTAATGTGCCTGAGATGTGGGTGTGACCTTTCTGTTCCATTGGTCTGTGGGAAAAATCATTCTTCTCGCTGGTTTTTCCTGCTTCCCTCTCCAGTATGCAGTAGAGACGCCAGGAGTCACCATCATGAGACAGACAAATCGCTTCTTCTTCTGCGGCCACACGTCTGGCAAGGTGGCCAAGTTCCATTTCTCTTCCCACTGCAGGACCCTGTTTCACTAGATACCTGATTGAGATCTGCTTTCCCTTAACTCTGGGGTGTAGTTGGATTGGAGATGAGGAATGAGTGGAGTGAATTCACTTCCTACTCAGTGATGTTCTACCATGAGATTATTTTGCAGTTTGATGTTTTCTATGATAATGAAGTCTCCTCGAAGCGCCTTCCAGCTCTGGGCTTCTCTGTTTGCCTTTTCTGTGCTTTAAGTTTCCCTATCCTAAAGCCCTAGTTCCTTTGGTAGGGACCCCACTGGGTTAGGTAGGTGGCAGTTATTTTTCCTGATAACAGAATTTGCAGATAACTGAATTTATTTTTTATTTTTTTTAGGTTTCCCTGAGAGATCTCCGTACTTTTAAGGTGGAACATGAGTTTGATGCCTTCTCAGGAAGTCTTTCAGATTTTGATGTGCATGGCAACCTGCTAGCTGCCTGCGGCTTCTCCAGCCGCCTCACTGGCCTGGCCTGCGACCGTTTCCTCAAGGTGTATGATTTGCGCATGATGCGTGCCATCACACCACTTCAAGTACATGTGGATCCTGCCTTCTTGCGCTTCATTCCTACATATACTTCTCGTCTTGCTATCATCTCTCAGTCAGGTATGAAGGGCATATGGGATTGGGTAGGAGGGATCAGTGAGCAAAGGAGAGCTAGAACCTGAATGAGTACTCATCCAGAAACCTCTTTGTTGGGGAAATAAGTAACCTTTCATCAGGGTCTCAGGGTTTTACTTGCGTTTGGCCAGAGATTAGAGCTTTTATTTTCTTGAATGTGAGGAACATGGAAAAAGGTAAAGATAAAGTAGGCAGAGTAACTGTAGAATTACTCTTTGCTGAGTAGCAAACCATCTGTGGTTTATGGAAGGCATCAGGTGACATTCTGTCTCTAGGCATGGATTTGGGGCCCATCTTGTCCTGAAATCGGGAAGAGGATAGGAAGGGCATAAGAGTATGGCTCTCTTTCACTTTCTAGAGCTCAGTGGGTTTCTTCCTTCTTTGTAGGGCAGTGCCAGTTCTGTGAACCCACAGGCCTAGCCAACCCAGCAGATATCTTTCATGTGAATCCTGTGGGGCCTCTGCTAATGACATTTGACGTGTCAGCCAGCAAGCAGGCCCTGGCGTTTGGGGATTCTGAGGGCTGTGTGCACCTCTGGACTGATTCCCCGGAGCCTTCCTTCAACCCCTACTCCCGTGAGACTGAGTTTGCTTTGCCGTGTCTCGTGGACTCACTGCCTCCTCTGGACTGGAGCCAGGACCTGCTGCCTCTTTCCCTCATCCCTGTCCCACTCACCACTGACACACTTCTCTCTGATTGGCCTGCTGCCAACTCTGCTCCAGCTCCCAGGTTGTACCCTACCTCTGGGCCAAAAGGTGGGAGGGATGGGGAAAGGGCAAAGATATCAGAATTCTCTGCTAGCCTTGTTATTATTCTACTACTTTCCTGATTTTTGTCTACCTTCAGTATTTTCTTTTTCTCTGGACCCTTGGGGATTGGGGAGTGGATCTGTGTACACCACAACAATTTAAGTCCTAGAACTATACTGGATTGTAGGCGAGCACCACCTGTGGATGCAGAGATTCTGCGCACCATGAAGAAGGTGGGCTTCATTGGCTATGCGCCCAATCCTCGCACCAAGCTGCGCAATCAGGTGTGTTCAGAGTGGAGGATCAGCCCCCACCCCAGCCCACTGAAGTTTCTCCTGTCTTTTTCCTTTACTAGTCTTTCTTTTGTTTTTAGATCCTGTTGGTAACCTACCGAATTGATGGAACTATGCTAGGTGTTAGGAGGATTCAAAGATAGAGAAGCTAGGGTCCTTGCTGTTAGGAAATTTAGTATTTGGTTGGTGAAGAGAAGACATAGCCATATCAGACATTATATTCTGTTGTTAAATGCTGAAGGAATGTCATAAGCATTTAGTGCCAGAGCTGTTTGGAGAGAAAATGTTACTCCAGGCTAAAGTGACCAAGGAAGGTGTAATGAAAGAGCTGGGTATTAAGCTGGAAAGGTGGGATATAAGTTAAGTAGATAGAAACAGAGGAGAATATCCAAGATGAGAGAAGAGTGTTAGCAAAGGTCTCAAGAGGCATACATGCAAAACACATATCTGAGGGGGACTATATGAGTATACCAGTCTGGCCAGAGTAGATGTTGGTATTGGGATGTAGTGAGAGATTAAAGTTAGAAGTGGCCAGATTGTGAAGCTTTGAACACCAGTTTATAATAGAGGAAGTAATACACAGAAAGCAGCATTCTACAAGGGTTAATTTGGTAGTGGTGTGCTGGACAGAGTGAATATAGGGAGACCAGTGTGGATGCCATCACAGTTGTCCAGCTGTGCTGAAGCAGAGTGTTGGCAGTGGAAATAGAAAGGAAGCAGTAGATGCTAAGAATGCTATGAATGTAGAAGGTTCAGGACTTGGTGGCTGTTTCAATGTTGGGATAAATGAGGGTGAAGCCAAAGATGACAAGACATCCAACAAGGTTACCTCTTCTTAAAATCCCTAGATACCTTACAGGCTCAAGGAGTCAGACAGTGAATTTGACAGCTTCAGCCAGGTCACTGAGTCACCAGTAGGACGAGAAGAGGAGCCACATCTCCACATGGTTTCTAAGAAATACCGCAAGGTGCTGGGGGACATCAGGGCCTGTGGGATGTGAGGAAAGGTACCCTAGGAAGGAAATCATATGAGAAAGGATTGAAGGACTCAGTCAGGAGGCCTTCAGCTATCACCCTGGACCCAGGAGGAAGGTTCTAGGAAAGGCTATGGCTACTGGAAAGATTTGGGGACTCGGAGGATATCCTTGTCTTGCTCAGACTATTTCTGCCTTAGGTGACCATCAAATATTCCAAGCTAGGGCTGGAGGACTTTGACTTCAAACACTACAATAAGACCTTGTTTGCTGGATTAGAGCCCCACATCCCCAACGCCTACTGTAACTGCATGATCCAGGTAAGGGTTGGGTATTCCTACAACTTGAACGTGCCTACTGCTTTCCTTCTTCCCTATGCCACTCGACCTTGCTCTTTCCAGGTCTCCTCAGCCATGCTCACTTTACCATGGTCTCCTCTACAATTCTTTCTTGCCTCTACAACTTTCAAGTCTCCTCTGAGCTCCACTGGTTTGGTGGACTCACTGCTTCGGTGGACTCCTGCTGTGTATTTTCCACCAGCTCACTTAACCTTCATATTTCTCCTCACCCCTAGGCCAGTTTCCTACATCAGTTCTTCTGCTTTTCCCTCCAGGTGCTCTATTTCCTGGAGCCTGTACGCTGTCTAATTCAAAACCACCTTTGCCAGAAGGAGTTCTGTCTGGCATGTGAGCTGGGCTTCCTCTTTCACATGTTGGACCTCTCTCGTGGTGACCCTTGCCAGGTCAGTACCTGGAGACCTGAGACACTTAAAATGGAAGGGGAAGGAAGGTGGATACAAAAGAGAAAATAACCCCTTTCCACCAACACATTTCCAGGGCAGTAATTTTCTTCGGGCATTCCGTACTATTCCTGAGGCCTCAGCCCTTGGTCTGATCCTGGCTGACTCAGATGAGGCTTCAGGCAAGGGCAATCTGGCCAGGCTCATTCAGAGGTGGAATCGCTTCATTCTCACTCAACTGCATCAAGATATGCAGGAGCTGGAAGTACCACAGGCTTATCGAGGTGCTGGAGGCAGGTATGAAATCAGGATAGAAATAGTTAAAGCCATCATGACAGGCCCCTCTGTGATTTAAAGGGTTTCCTAACTTCCTCAATGTGCATATATCATCCTCTCCACTCTTAGCAGCTTTTGCTCATCGGGGGACTCTGTTATTGGGCAGCTCTTCAGCTGTGAGATGGAGAACTGCAGCCTCTGCCGCTGTGGCAGCGAGACCGTGCGAGCCTCATCCACCCTGCTTTTCACACTCTCCTACCCTGATGGTAGCAACAGTGGTGTACCCTTCAGCTCTGTTGGGAAGGCTCCCCAAAATGTCCTGTAATATCAGGGACAGGGTGTTGGGGACTAACTGTGGGTAGAGGGGAGAACCAGGAGTAAAGCATCTAATTTTCCCTCAGATAAAACTGGGAAGAACTATGACTTTGCTCAGGTGCTGAAGCGAAGCATCTGCCTGGACCAGAATACACAGGCCTGGTGTGACAACTGTGAAAAGTACCAGCCCACGGTGAGTGGACTGTTGGACTGGACTAGAGTCCTGGTCCTGCCATGGAGATTCAGCACCATCCCATGTGGGGCTGGCTCTGTCAGCACTGCCATCCAGGGATCTCTGGTGGAGTGAGGAATCCCAGTTTGAGGACACAGACCCAGGTCCCTGTCCAGACTCCTTTTCCTGTACGTTCCCTGCCATTCCTTGTTTGTTTTTTCCTCTCAGATTCAGACCCGCAACATCCGCCATCTGCCAGATATTCTTGTCATCAATTGTGAGGTGAACAGCTCAAAAGAGGCTGATTTCTGGAGAATGCAGGCTGAGGTAAGGACTCAGACTAGAAACAGGGCTTCAGGAATAATTTTTCATTTTATCCCCGTTCTGACCTCCATACATGATTATGTTCCTGAAGAACTGGATGTTTTTCTTTTGTGTTCAGGTTGCCTTCAAGATGGCAATAAAGAAACATGGTGGGGAAATCTCCAAGAACAAGGAGTTTGCTTTGGCTGATTGGTAGGTGCTGTCTTGGGAGTTGTCAAATGATTGAATTGTCCAGTGGCTCCTCTTGTCAAGATCTCTTTCAGAACAAATTTCCAATTCTTCTGACCTGATAGGAAGGAACTAGGGAGTCCAGAGGGTGTGCTGGTATGTCCCTCCATTGAGGAGCTGAAGAATGTCTGGCTTCCTTTCTCCATTCGCATGAAGATGACCAAGAACAAAGGGCTGGATGTTTGCAATTGGACTGATGGGGATGAGATGCAGGTTGTTGAAAAACCGGGAAGAGGAAAGGGAATAAGGGAGAGAAGGTGGGGCAGAAGGTAAAGGAGGGCAGGGGAAGGTGAAACTTAGCAGAAGGAAAAGGAAGAGAATAAGGCCTAGTATTTACCTGTTAGGGGATTTTCCGTAGTCACTCAGTTCAGTGTTGGGTTCCTAGATGGGCTAGGATGGAGATAACCCACCCTGGTACCCCATCCCCTATACCCCCAACTCCCTGTCCTCTGTCCCCATTCCCCTCCCTTCCCCATCCTTAAACTTAGCTTAGCAGCCTGGGTACCCCCCTCACAGTGGGGCCCAGCCAGGGCAGAGGAGGAGCATGGTGTCTATGTGTATGACCTGATGGCTACTGTGGTACACATCCTGGACTCACGCACAGGGGGCAGCCTGGTGGCTCACATCAAAGTTGGAGAGACCTACCACCAGCGCAAGGAGGTGAGTGAGGTTATAGAGGGCAGGAACACTCCTGGGATGGCCACAGTGAGTCCCAGATCTGTCCTTAAGTCTGAGACAGTGGTCTAGCCATCACTTTGTATCGCCACAGGCTTTCTTTGTATTTCCATAGGGCGTTACTCACCAGCAGTGGTATCTGTTCAATGACTTTCTTATTGAACCTATTGATAAGGTTAGTTGCAACATGTTCTGTTTCTTCTTTCATTTCCCCTTTTCCTAGCATCCTTATCTTTAGGGCCCTATAGAATGCCAGGCAGATTCAACAGGGAGGGAGGAAGGAATCCTCAGAAATAAAAACCATTAGCACTTAAAAATAGCACCTGAAAAAAAAAAAAAAACAAACTAGCACCTGAGTCCTGGCCTCTTGTCGAAGTGGGGAAAAGGAAAAGGGTGATATACATTAGCCATAAGTGCTTTTTCTCTTCTATAGCATGAAGCTGTGCAGTTTGACATGAATTGGAAAGTACCTGCAATCCTTTATTATGTCAAACGGAATCTCAATTCCAGATACAACCTGAACAGTAAGTGCTACACAGTAGACCCAAGTGTGTGGGCAGTTTAGATTGGGCTTCAGGATGAGATCTGGGACATTGCTTGCAAGTACTTAGGATTGGTAACCAGTGTTAATATTTCTGGAGATACTAAAGAGATTCCTGTTTATCAGACCTTAAATTTAGAAGCACGAAATCCAGCCTGGGCAACATAGCAAGACCCCATCTCTTAAATTTTTTTTTTTTTTTTTTTTTGAGATGGAGTCTCACTGTGTCACCCAGGCTGGAGTGCAATGGCATAGTCTCGGCTCACTGAAATCTCTGCCTCCTGGGTTCAAGCGATTCTCCTGCCTCAGCCTCCTGAGTAGCTGGAATTACAGACGCCCGCCACCACGCCTGGCTAATTTTTTTGTATTTTTAGTAGAGACAGGGTTTCACCACGTTGGTCAGACTGGTCTCGAACTCCTAACCTCATGATCTGCCCGCCTCGGCCTCCCAAAGTGCTGGAATTACAGGCGTAAGCAACCACCCCCAGCCTAAAAAAAGTTTTCTTTTTTTTTTTTAATTAGCCTGTGTAGGCCAGGCACAGTGGCTTATGGCCTGTAATCCCAGCATTTTGGGAGGCTGAGGTGGGCAGATCACTTGAGCTCAAGAGTTCGAGACCAGTCTGGGCAACATGGTGAAACCCTGTCTCTACAAAAATTACAAAAAGTAGCTGGGTGTGGTGATGTGCTCCTGTTGTCTCAGCCACTTGGGAGGCTGAGGCAGGAGAATCACTTCAGCCTGGGAGTCGGAGGTTTCAGTGAGTCGAGATTGCATCATTGCACTCTAGCCTGGGTGACAAGAGTGAAACCCTGTCTCAAAAAAAAAAAAAAAAATTTAGCTGAGTGTGGTAGCATATACTTGTGGTCCCAGCTAAAGCTGGAGAGGCTGAGGTGGGAAGATCACCTGAGCCCAGGAGGCCAAGGCTACAGTGAGTAAGCCATGATTGTACCAGAGTGTACTCCAGCCTAGGCAACAGGATGAGACCGCTTTTTTTTTTTTTTTTGACAGAGTATCACTCTTGTTGCCCAGGCTGTAGTGTAATGGCACAATTTTGGCTCACTGTGACCTCCACCTCCCGGGTTCAAGCAGTTCTCCTGCCTCAGCCTCCCGAGTAGCTGGGACTACAGGTGCCTGCCACCATGCCCGGCTAATTTTTTGTATTTTTAGTAGAGATGGGGTTTCACCATGTTGGCCAGGTTGGTTTTGAACTCCTGACCTCGTGATCTGCCCGCCTTGGCCTCCCAAAATGCTGGGATTATAGCCGTGAGCCACGGTGCCCAGCCTGAGACCCTGTCTTTTAAAAAAAAAAAAAAAAAAAAACAACGCTGTAAATCTTGAGAGTGGAGTGGAAATGAGATGAGGGGGGACATTTGGTCCGAATGGCTTAGGTTATGATGTTATATCTAATTATTATTTTTTGTGGGACAGAGTTTTGCTCTTGTTGCCCAGGCTGGAGTGCAGTGCGTGATCTTGGCTCACTGCGACCTCTGCCTCCCGGGTTCAAGTGATTCTCCTGCCTCAGCCTCCCAAGCAGTTGGGATTACAGGCAGGTGCCACTACGCCTAGCTAATTTTTTTGTTTTTTGTCTAATTAGTAGAGACGGGTTTCACCATGTTGGCCAGGCTGGTCTCAAACTCCTGACCTAGTGATCTGCCTGCCTTGGCCTCCCAAAGTACTGGGATTACAGGCATAAGCCACTGCGCCTGTCTCATGTCTAATTATTCTTACCCCAAATGAAGATCTCTTTTGGAGGTGAGCTCCTTTTTTTTTTTTTTTTGAGATGAAGTCTTGCTCTTGTTCCCCCAGGCTGGAGTGCAATGGCGCGATCTCGGCTCACTGCAACCTCTGCCTCCGGGGTTCAAGTGATTCTCCTGCCTCAGCCTCCTGAGTAGCTGGGATTAGAGGCGCGTACCACCACACCTGGCTAATTTTTGTATTTTTAGTAGAGACAGGGTTTCACCATGTTGGCCAGGCTGGTCTTACACTCCTGACCTCAGGTGATCTGCCTGCCTTGGCCTCCCAAAGTGCTAGGATTATAGGCATGAGTCACCACGCCCAGCTGTGAGCTCCTTATTTAAGTACCTATTTGGTATCTTTAAACCATAGTTTCTCTGTAACCTTTTTCTGGATTCTCTAAACTAAGGTTCAAGTGAAAATCTTATTCTTTATTCTCTGTGGTCTTTTCTGGTTTTTTTCTCAGCATGTTTGTTGATAATTTTGTGATGTGACCTGCTCTGTCTACCTGTCCCATTTATCAGACATGATCTTTTTTCCCACGTGCTTTGATTATTGAGGGGTCAAGTGAAGACCCAGAGTCTATCAGCCACATTGGGCTTCTCTCCCCTAGTCACTTCGCTATCCAAGCCCTGTGTCCTCTTCATTCTCCCTTCTAGTCAAGAACCCTATTGAGGCAAGTGTCTTGCTGGCTGAAGCCTCGCTGGCACGGAAGCAGCGGAAAACACATACTACCTTTATTCCACTGATGCTGAATGAGATGCCACAGATTGGGGACCTGGTGGGTCTGGATGCCGAGTTTGTCACCCTTAATGAGGTAACCAAGACCAAAGGGATGGGGCATTGGAAGAGAACTCTGAGGATATTAGGAGTTGTAAGCATTTCTCTGATTTCCTTATTAACTCTTCTCATGTAGGAGGAAGCAGAGTTACGCAGTGATGGTACCAAGTCTACCATTAAACCAAGTCAGATGTCAGTAGCCAGGATTACCTGTGTCCGGGGCCAGGGACCTAATGAGGGTATCCCCTTCATTGATGACTACATCTCTACCCAGGAGCAGGTATTAAGATACAGAGATGCAAGTGAGGCACACCCTGGTGCTTATGTACAGTGCTCAAGAACCCAGGGAAGAGTGATAGGGGAAAACTCCACCTCACTTCCTGAAAAAGACTTGTCCTTTTCTCTATTCCTAGGTGGTGGATTACTTGACTCAATACTCGGGTATAAAGCCTGGTGACCTCGATGCCAAAATTTCCTCCAAGCACCTAACAACTCTCAAGTCTACCTACTTAAAGCTTCGTTTTCTCATTGACATCGGAGTCAAGTTTGTGGGTCATGGCCTGCAGAAGGACTTCCGGGTCATCAACCTGATGGTTTGGCAGGGCTCTTTTAAGAGTCTTCTTGTGAGAGTGGGCCCCTCAGGGTATACATTGTGCCTTCAGAGAATGGGAAATTATAGTCCCCTACCTTAAGTCTCTCCCTCTTTTATCTTTGCCAGGTGCCCAAGGACCAAGTCCTTGATACTGTCTACCTGTTCCACATGCCCCGAAAACGAATGATTTCCCTGCGATTCCTTGCTTGGTACTTTCTGGGTGAGTTGCTCTGCCTTGTAGGCCCCTGTGGTGTACATTAATAGCAGAAGCAGCCATTTAAAAAAAAAGCAATCATGTCCTTTGCAGCAACATGGATGGAGCTGTGGGCCATCATACTAAGTGAACTAACTCAGAAACAGAAAATCAGATACCACATATTCTCACTTATAAGTTGGAACTAAACAATGAGTACATATGGACATAAGGATGGAAATAATAGACACTGGGGACTCTAAAAGTGGGGTTGGTGGGGGATGGGGTGAGGGTTGAAAATTACGTATTGGCTGCATAGTTCACTATTTGCATATTAGGGATACCGGAAGCCCAGTCCTCACCAGTACATGATATACCCATGTAGCAAACATGCACATGTACCCCAAATCTAAAATAAAATTTAAACATAAAAAATAAAAGCATGGGGGGAAAAGACAAAGTAGGAAAAGTGTTAGAGGACAAAGTGGGAGTAGGGGTGACCCTCAGTTAGTGGTGACAGTTACTAATGGATTTAATTAACTTCAATATCCCTTCTGTGCAATGAAGAAGATGTTTGACAATTTCCCTTAAGGACAGTCAGGCTTTTTAGTTTTCTGGAGTCAGGTAGGAGTGGGGAGACATGTTCCTACCTCCCTTTGCTGGGTCCCAAACTATTCCACCTTTACTTACCCCAGACCTGAAGATTCAAGGGGAAACCCATGACAGTATTGAGGATGCACGCACAGCCCTTCAGCTCTACCGAAAGTATCTGGAGCTAAGCAAAAATGGCACTGAGCCTGAGTCTTTCCACAAGGTGCTCAAGGGTCTTTATGAGAAGGGCCGAAAGATGGACTGGAAGGTGCCTGAGCCTGAGGGCCAAACAAGTCCCAAGAGTAAGACCTGGGATGGGACAAGGGAAACTGGACTGGGTGGATTTTGTATTTTGTTTGTGACAGGGTCTCACTCTTACCCAGGCTGAAGTGCAGTAGCGTGATTACAGCTCACTGCAGCCTCGACTTCCTGGGCTCAAGTGATTCTCCCACCTCAGACTCCCAAGTACCTGGGACAACAGGCACACACCACCACACCCAGCTAATTTTTGTACTTTTTGTAGAAACAGGGTTTTGCCATGTTGCACAGGCTGGTCTTAAACTCCTGGGCTCAAGCGATCCATCCACCTTGGGCTCACAAAATGCTGGGATTACAGGCATGAGCCCAGCGCCCCCAACTGGGTGGATTTTGATTGCACATATGGAGAATAGCACTTCACAGTTTACAAAGCACTTCATCCTCCTAACATTCAGTGAAATACATTTTATCAAAACTCTCCATTAACTATAACTTCCTCTTGCCCAAGTCTAAAATGTTCAGGGAAGGTCCATGCCCTTTTTTCTCTTGCATTTTTCCTTCATAGGAAGTAATGAGAAGATGCTTTTTTCTCTACTCAGCTTGAATCATGCTTTTTGGTTTTGTCTCTGACAGATGCAGCTGTCTTCTCCTCAGTGCTGGCGCTCTGACTACCCTTCCCAAAGAACCACTGCCCTCTCCCTTTACTGTTCTATAGCCCCAGAACTGGGAGATGGCTTCCTTAGTTGGCTATACCTTGTCCACTTCCAGTACTGGACGTGCTCAGGGTCTAGAGTCTCAGATGGTGCTATTAATAGAACTGGAACACAGCAGAATTGTTGCAAAGGTTCTAGGAGCCAGATTCATTCCTTCTTCATCCTTTGCAAAACAGTGGCACAGAAACGGAGTCTAGAATTGACCCAGATGGAAAGTAATTGGTATTCTTAATATCCTGGTTCACTAATACCCAGGCAGAGAAGCTCCTGGAACCATAATTGTCAGTTCCTAGCTGGCTAGGGATTGAAGTCCTGGACAGCGACAGAGGATACCACAGTAGTTCAAGACTTAGCACAAGTCACCAACTGCTTCAGGGATGCCTGGAGGGGCCAGCAAGTAGAGTGTTGGTGGCCCAAACAAACCAGTGTTGCCAATACCATTGCCAAAAGGGCCTTTGGATCCTGGACAGAGCTTGGCTGCTGGCTTCATTTATTCCTGCTGATGGCTGAGAAGCATCTGTCTTCCATCCCACTCTCCTGTCCCAAGTTTTGTTCCGTTTTTAAAAAATTTGTTGTAAACTGCATGTTTTATAAAATAAAAACAAAATACCGTTTGTCATTTATCTCATTAGGGAACTGCTAGTGTAGGTTCTCTGGCTTCAGTCTTCCTCTCCTTCCTTTGAAGGTAAAGGTGCGGAATCCAAAGTTATGGATATGAAAGGGTATAATTGGGCCAGGCGCAGTGGGTCACTTCTGTAATCCCAGCACTTTGGGAGGCCGAGGTGGGTGGATCAGGAGGTCAGGAGTTCAAGACCAGCGTGACGAAGATGGTGAAACCCCCGTCTCTATTAAAACTACAAAAATTAGCCGGGCGTGGTGGATGGCGACTGTAATCCTAGCTGAGGCAGAGAATTGCTCGAATCCGGGAGGCGGAGGGTGCAGTGCGCCAAGATCACGCCACTGTACGCCAGCCTCGGCGATAGGGCGAGACTCCGTCTCAACAAAAGGAAAAAAAAGGTATAATTATGCCTTTTCTGGGCAATGCTGGGTCTTTGCTGTAGCTGCCCAGTAACCTACGTGAGACTGAAGATGTACAGTACGGTTTCCCCGTTAATTGTGTAAGCCGACAAACTACAGGTCCCAGGATAGCTTGAGACCTGTAGTTGCTCACAAAGATGGGTCTGGCGCTGTGGTGCTTCCTGGGAGATGTAGTTTCCTGTGTATTGAAACCTGGGCTGCTCGCTGGCCTGCAGAGCACCGTTTTGAAGGTCCTAGCCCACCTGAGTTGGCTCACGCGCACGACTAGCCGCTCCTATACAGTACACCCGGCCTCTGTCGTCTCTTAAGGCCACTCCTATTCTACGGCTGACCCCTGGAGGTCACGTGGAGCTGTTCGCCACGCAAGTCTGGGTCCTTCAGCGATTGACCGGGGTCCTCGCTATCCAGGAGCCTCTCCCAAGCTGCCTGTTCGCGCGAGAGTTTGGAGGGGCGGGTTTGGGGTCGGTGTCTGATTGGGGCTCGCACCGCAGCACGCTCGAGCCCCGCTTAGGTACCACTTAGCGCCACGGGAGCTGGGTCAGGCGGTCGCCGGGACACCCCGTGTGTGGCAAGCGGCGAAGCGCTTTGGAGGATTCCGGACAGCCCTGCTCCCCGCAGCCAGGTGTAGTTTCGGGAGCCACTGGGGCCAAAGTGAGAGTCCAGCGGTCTTCCAGCGCTTGGGCCACGGCAGCGGCCCTGGGAGCAGAGGTGGGACGGATGCGAGCAGCGAGGCGCTGGGCGCTGAGGGTTGGGGATGGACTGGAGCGAAAGCAATGGCGGAGTCCTTAGAAAGGGGGCTGAGGTCCGTACGGATAATCAACTTACGGGCTGGAGATGGGGACGCAGGAATCTTCGGTGCGGGATCCAAATGGGCCCTAATTATTGAATGCTGGCCTCCTGGCCTGACTGAGGGCTCCCTGCTGGCAGTTCCCTAGTGCCTGTAGTCCTCGCGTAATCGCCAACTTACCTCCTGTAGCTGCCACAAAGCCCCGTGAACTCTAGGCATGCAGTGCTAAAGTACCAACACCTAGGGCCTCACCTTTCCACGTAGAGTCTGGGACTGAGCCCCAAGTCCTGAGCTTGCGCTCCCACCTACCGCCCTGGGGGAATCAGAGCCCTCAAGCGCTGGAACAGAGAAGCCCCTTTGTGTCCCGGCCATTTCCTGGAAAGTAGAGCCAGAGTCACAGTGAAGCCTTTGAAAGCCTTGGGGTGAGGAGTGGGGGGGTCAGGGAAAAATGGAATCGGCTTCTCACACTTGTTTTATTCCCACACAAACCCAGGTGGAGCGACCCCATTACGCTAAAGATGAAAGGCTGGGGTTGGCTGGCCCTGCTTCTGGGGGCCCTGCTGGGAACCGCCTGGGCTCGGAGGAGCCAGGATCTCCACTGTGGAGGTAAAGGCACAACAGGAAAAAGAAGTGGAGGAAGCAGAGCCTCGGGAGGGCATGAGATCCAAGGCCTGGGAGAAGGAGGAATGGAAATCCTGGGTTGATCCCATTCTCCTCACACCCTACCCCCACCCTCTCCCCTGCTCCCATTCTCTCCTCTTCCACCAGCGTGCAGGGCTCTGGTGGATGAACTAGAATGGGAAATTGCCCAGGTGGACCCCAAGAAGACTATTCAGATGGGATCTTTCCGGATCAATCCAGATGGCAGCCAGTCAGTGGTGGAGGTAACTGTTACTGTTCCCCCAAACAAAGTAGCTCACTCTGGCTTTGGATGACAATTCGACTGCTTAAAAAGGACCTTAGTTTAATAGAAATGAAGAAAATAGACTCAGAGAGATATCTAAAAGCTTTGGCTCTGTCTCATTTGGAAGAGGCTGCAGGCTTATTCCCCATGCACTTGCTTCCTGGCTCCAAACCTTAATACTTTGTTTCTGCTGTAGAATTTGTTAGCAAACAGGGAGTCCTGATCAGCCCCCTTTTCCACATCCACATGACTTGTTTTTACTGTAGCACTGTGGTATACATACAAACGTCCATTCAAAATCTGAATCAGAGCTAAAAATAAAAAATGAAAAATAAGAATAAAAGGTTTTATCATAATTAGGAAATTTTAGTCGAAAACAACACACATGTACACAAAGGTGTATCTAATAAGTAATATATAAGGCAATGTTAAGATTATGGTGCTAGCCTGGGCATCATGGCAAAACACCATCTCTACAAAGAAATGCAAAAGTTAGCAGTGCATGGTGGCATGTGCCTGTAGTGACCGCTACTTGGAAGGCTGAGGTGGGAGGATCACTTGAGCCTAGAGGATCACTTAAGCTCAAGAGGTCACGGCTGTAGTAAGCCGTGATCGTGCCACTGCACTCCAACCTGGGAAACACAGCAAAACCCTGTCTCAAAAAAAAAAACAAAACCCAGCACTTTGGGAGACTGAGCCAGGCAGATCACCTGAGGTTAGAAGTTTGAGACCAGCCTGGCCAACATGGTGAAACTTCATCTCTACTAAAAATACAAAAAATTAGCCAGGCGCGGTGGCACATGCCTATAGTCCCAGCTACTCGGGAGGCTGAGGCAGGAGAATCAATTGAACCCAGGAGGCAGAGGTTGCAGTGAGCCAGGAACACCCCTCTGCACTCCATTCTTGTTGACAAGAGCAAAACTCTGTCTTGGGAAAAAAAAAAGATTATGGTACCTTAATAGCTGTTGTCCACAGAGCCTACACTACCTCTTTAATACTGTGCTTACTGAGGATATTAGTCTCAATTTTAAAAAATTATTATTATTATTATTTTTGAGTCAGAGTTTCGCTCTTGTTGCCCAGGATAGAGTGCAATGACACGATCTTGGCTCACTGCAACCTCTGCTTCCCGGATTCAAGCGTTTCTCCTGCCTCAGCCTCCCAAGTAGCTGGGATTACAGGCACGCACCACCATGCCTGGCTAATTTTGTACTTTTAGTAGAGACAGGGTTTTTCCATGTTGGTCAGGATGGTCTCAAACTCCTGACCTCAGGTGATCCACCCTCCTCGGCCTCCCAAAGTGCTGGGATTACAGGCGTGAGCCACCGTGCCTGGCCAAAAATATATATATATTAATGAGAACACATGGACACAGGGAGGGGAACATCACACATCAGGTCCTGTTGGGGTGTGGGGGGCTAGGGGAGGGATAGCATTAGGAGAAGAATACCTAATGCTAGCATACAGTTGATAGGTGCAGCAAACCACCATGGCACATGTATACCTAGGTAACAAACCTGCACGTTCTGCACATGTATCCCAGAACTTAAAGTATTAATTAAAAAAAAAAAATTGTCTTCATCTATAGAAATTAAAAGTATAAGTTGATCAGCGGGTGGTTAATCAAAAAATTCTGTTTATAACTTGGAGCTAATGTTAACTGTCGTCTGTTTCGTTTAGAATTGTACAATGAAGTGCCGGGCACGGTGGCTCATCCTGTAATCCCAGTACTTTGGGAGGCCAAGGTGGGGTGGATTACCTGAAGTCAGGAGTTTGAGACCAGCCTGACCAACATGGAGAAACCCTGTCTCTACTAAATACAAAATTAGCTGGGCGGGTGGCACATGCCTGTAATCCAATTACTTGGGAGGCTGAGGAGGACGAGAAATCACTGAACCCGGGGGTGGAGGTTGCAGTGAGCCAAGATTGCACCATTGGCACTCCAGCCTGGGCAACAAAGAGTGAAACTCCATCTCTAAAAAAAAAAAAGAATTGTACAATGAGGTAAAATCCAAATCATATATTTGAAACTAGCGCCAAGTACAGTGGTCATACCTGTAATCCCAGCACTCTGGGAGACTGAGCGCAGGCAGATCACTTGAGTGCAAGGAGTTCGAGACCAGCCTGGGCAACATGGCAAAACCTCATCTAAAAAAAAAACAAAAAGTAGCTGAGCCCGGTGGTGCGCACCTGTGAGAGGCTGAGGAGGCAGGAATCACCTGAGCCTGGGGAAATCCAAGCTGTAGTGAGCCTCAGTTCATCACACCACTGCATTCTAGCCTGGGCAATTGCGCAGTGAGGCCTGTCTCAAAAAAAAAAAAACA